AATCAATCTTTTTTAAATAAGAAAGAAACTAAGTCAATAGCATCTGAGCAACAGATGAGAATTAAAGCGAAATCTGTTGGCTAATGGCAACAGCTTTTGTGTTCTTTGTTGCTGAGAGCTTGCATGTAGCAGCCACTCCAATATGCTCACCAACTCAGATGCAAAAGGCTATGGAAAACAGTTGCTATTTTTATTCGGAAGATAAAATCTAACACCACCTCTCAGGCTCTTGATTTTGCTAGAGTAGTAAAAGAGAACAAAAGCCAGGGTGCTGTGTGTCTAGAGGATCCAGGGCCTGTGGCTCCTGCTATGTGGAAATAGGGAGCATATTGGGGGGAAAAGGGAAGAGCTGGCCCTGGATTGTGGGCAGTAAGTACCTGGAGCCATGTAACAGAAAATACAGTCAGGATTTAACTTGGTGACAGCCTCAGAAACAGGCCATGTGTATCTCTGAGAGTTTTCATATTTACAGATTACTGCAGTTAAATCATTTTTATAGTTTCTTTTTCTTTAATACCCCAAAGAGGAAACTTGTCCTTATAAATTACTGTGGCATTGTAAAAGCAGTAATAATACTTATGATAATGACTGTGCTGGTTTCCGTTGATACTGTAAGCAATTAGTACAATCTTAGAGTCTGAATAACACATATGAATGAAAGTTAAGGGGCTAGCCAGAGGGAACACATTCCCTTGTCCTTTCCAGCTCACACAGGCTGCCCATATGCCTTGGCTCATGTTCCCTTCTCCCTGTTTACAGTGAACATGCTGCATTTCTTTGTACCACGTTTTCTTGTCATGTTATCCACTTATGCCTGTAAGGCCCGGGGATTCCACGAGGCTCAGTGAGGAAACTCAGGATGACCACCTTATCTCAGGGCCAGCAGAGCAGCCATCCTCCTGCCTTCTCCTCCCACCTTCTGCAACCTTAATTCTTCTTTATCAAATAACACACACACAGAGATACTGGGGCTGGGGCTCGGACCTCTTTAGGGAAATTTTGTTTATTATTGAATATATACCTATAAAGCACAGTTCTAAGTAGATTATATAATCAATCAACTATATTTCTCACAATGGTAGTAGATTCAGTGATTATTTTCAGGTTTCAAATGAAGAAACTAAAGAGAAGGACTTAGTTTGCCCAGTGTTACCTAGCTGGAGAATGAAGGGGCTGAGATTTAAAGCAGAAGTCCACATGCAGAGCCTGAACTTGCAACCATTCAACTCCACAACTTTGCAGACAAAACTTGCATGTCCATACTGTTATAGTCATTGCCAACATACTCACATTACAGACCACAACTTCTTCTCCTAAAAATATTTTATGTGTTTATTTCATTCATGAGTGTATGTGTTTTCACTCACGTATGTGTTCCTACGTAGTGAAGGTGAGTGTGCAAATGTGTGCACACATGTAGAAGCCCAAAGGTTGAAGTCGAATGCTTCCTTGATCACTCTTTCCCCTACATATAGAGATTGGGTCCCTCAGTTGAATCTAGAGTGTGCTAATTTGATTAGTCCACAAGCTAACTTGCACTGGAGACCCTATTGCCCCCAGGATCACAAGTGGGCCATGTGCTATGGAATAGAATATTTTTTAACTAAGTGAAGATGTGTTACAATTGTTTATGTTGCAGAATAATGGTTTACCTTATGTAAGATATGCTGCTTTTGTTTATGTTGTATTTGTTTAACTAGGTAAAGGTGTATTGCTGTTTCACCTTGCCTGCCTAAGGCATCTGATTGATGTAATAAAAAGCTGAATGGCCTATAGCTAGGGAGAGGAAGGATAAGTGGGTTTGGCAGCAGAAAGAAAAGGGAAGTCAACAGCCAGACAGAGGAGGCTCAGGAAAGCAGTGTGGAGAGTATACAGATGAGGTAAATGAGCCTTGGGGCAGCACATAGATGAATAGAAATACGTTAATTTAAGTTAAAGAAAAAAGTTAACTAGAAATAGGCATAATATAAGGCTGAGCATTCATAATTGATAATAGGTCTCTGTGTCTTGATTTGGGTGCTGGTTGGTGGTCCAAGAAAGCCTGCTACACTACCCTGCCCAAGATTTATGTGAATTCTGAGGATGTGAATTCTGGTCTTCATGCTGGTATATGAGCCATCTCTCCATCCTCAACTGCCTTTGACATCTGAGGAGCATAATAATGACACCAGAATCCAAAAATCAAGATGGAAATGGAAGGGTAGTGTCTAGATGGCCCAAAGGGAAGAATCAAACAATATTTATGGAAAGATGCATCTCACTGTAGTCTAGTCTAGTCTAGAGTCATGCTGAGTAGAACAAGCCTCTGTGTTAGCCTGAGCTCCTGAAGTAGGCTAAATCCAGAATGTGGTCACTTGCGTGAGGAATTACAAGATCGAAATGGACTTAGAAAAAGACAAGTTTTCAAAATACCAGAGAGTTCCCAGCAACCAATCAAAAGAGTTCCTATTACACTGAGACGCCATGGCGAGGAAGTCCCTTCTCTGCCACCCTGAAGAGAGCTGTTTGCAGTGGCCAATCCACTTTATGTTCCTAGTTTCTGCCTTCTTCATCCTTTTCCTGTTTATAAAGCCCATCCCTTCCACTTAGCTTTGTTCAAGTGTCTTTCTTCTGTAGGTGAGATATGGCACAGTTCACAAATCAATAACTAAAGATTAGATCTTTAAATCTGAAATCTCAGTCTTTGACTGTCCAGGGTTCCTATGGTATCTGACCTGCTAAGGTAAGGTGATAGAGTGTATGAGAATGGCTCCCACAGGCTCATGTGTTTGAATGTTTTGTCCCTAGTTGGTAGGATTATTTAAGGATAAAGAGGTGTGACCTTGTTAGAGGAGGTGTGTTACTGGGGGTGAGGGAGTTGGTCTTTGAGGTTTTAAAAGAATCCCGCCACTCCTAGTGTTCTCTCTACTTCCTGAGTGTAGCTCTCATGTGAGCTCTTGGCACTTCCTGTGCCCCGCGCTGGTTCCACGGACTCTAGCCCTCTGAAGTTTTATTAAACACTTTGTTTTATAAGTTGTCTTGGGCATAGTGTTTTATCACAGCAATAGGAAAGTAACTAGCATGGGTAACCTCAGCAAGGCCACATTACGTCTTGTTACGTACAATATATCCAGGGGCAAAGGTGCTACTAAGACTTTGAGGCGCGTACTGGAAGGAGCATTGTTTGGACACTTGATATGAAATGGGATGGCTCAGAACTGTCCACACTACTTGTATTCTTTAAATGTCATTTTGATGATCCCACGGCTCTCTCTCACTCTCTCCCTCTATCTCTCTTTGTCTCTCTTAGATAGAGAAGGGGAAAGAGAGACAGAGAGAGAGGGAGAGAGTGGGGAAGGAAAGAAAGAAAAAGGAAGGGAAATGGAATCAGAGAATTGAATTTTCTTTTCTATCTAAAATTATCAGTTGAAGATTTCTTACTGAGAACAACAGGTGTCCTGTATCCCCCAGCATGTTAAAGAAACAGATACTCTAAGGGTTTTTACAAATATGCTTAAATCTATCATATGTGTTATCTGTCCTTCATAGTAAAGAAGGATAGAGACTGGTAGATTTGATAGGGAGTTACAGAAATAAAATAACACAATGGGTACCTCTACCTTACTTCCTGCCTCCCAAAAGGTACAAGAAAATCCTTCAAGAACTAGGAAGCGACTTTGTAAATCCTTCTGCTTTGTGAGCAGCAAACATTTTCTGATCTCCTCTCTTGCCCTAAGCATTACGGCATGCTTGAGGGAGTCTGGCATGTCCTTCTAGGTAGGAAGGCAACCTGGTACTCTGGAGAAGTCTTGAGAAGCAAGGCTGGTGTGACATCCATGTGGTAGTAGGAGGGAAGGGAGAGCCAAGAGAACAAGCTAGCTGCACTTGAGTGATTTGTGGGGGGTAAGGATTGGTGACTGTAGCAGGCCAGGGAGATGCTGCTGCAGCTGCCACATAGTTAAAGTTTTCTCTGGCTCCATCCAAGAAGTCCAGATAGATGCTGCTGCTGGTGGTGGTGGTGGTGCCTTCTCTCACCATCTATGAAGTCTGCCAGCTTGGGTAAGGACACTCTAGGCAGACTGTCTGGGGTCGGGGCTAACAGTAGATAAGTGGTCCTTAGGATAGATGTCTGCCATGGAAATGATTCCTGCAGCAGCCACTGTTATACTGAAGAGCTCCCTAAACAATCTACCAAGGCGTTCATAAAGGACCCCTGGTGGTCAGTTTGAACCACCTAAACAAGTTAAAACATCCTCTAGTTTAACTTAGCCTTTCCCCTTCACGTTTCCACTGACAGGGTAGTAACACCCAGGGAGGAGGTATATTCTGGTTTACATTAAATTAGTTGTGCAAGCCTCTGGTCAAATGACCAGAAATCAGCCGGATCACTGGGAGAACAGAATGTGGAGCAATGGTTTCTGCAGAGTGTTTTTTGGAGGGCAGCTGTATGAGAAGAAGTAAGTTGTACTGACTGTGTGAGGCTCAGTGCTCTTAGCTGCTGAATCCACCACATGTGGCCTCTTATCTCTCAGGCCCAGACACAGGAAGGGATGGTGTTAGCCTCAATCTGAAAGGAGGGGAGGAAGATGGGTGAAACGTAAGGCTGAGATATGGAAGGTCATGGATTGAGACCAGGGTTACATGGCCCTCATCCGGGGGACATCTCTAATGCATCCCAGTGACAGCCTCTGTAGCGACAGCTACTGTGTTGGTGAATTGATGTCAGATGTCACAGAAGAATGAGACTTAAGGCTTGTTTCCCTTGTGCAGAGGGACACACAGGGAAAGCTTTCTATGCCCTAGTAAGCACTGGCCTCTTGACAACATCATCACCACAATCTTCAGGGGAAAACCAAAAGGCATTTGTGCCTTCTTGGCAAATAAAAAACTTACAGTCATAGCCTTGATTTTTATGAATACAGCTGAAGATGAGAAAACACTTGGACCTCTTTCTGAGCACACACAAAGGAATGATTTAGCTAGGAGAAACAAAGCCAATTGCTTTTGCAGTAGGCCCTTACCTCAGCATGGCACCAAATCCCTTCCTCTTCATTTTCCTCTCTGGGTCTTCACTCTCTTCTTTCTGCTTTTTGTCCTTGACTTTCAGCTTGCCCTTTCCCTTTTTCTTCTCCTTCTCCTTTGCTTTTTTGACTTTCCTGGCTTTATTTTCCACATCGTCTAACTCAGGGTTTCCCTGAGGGGCAGACTCGCAATTCAGAGCTCCATGGCCAGAATGAGAGCTCTTATCAGAGAGACCGTCTGTAGAGAGAAAAATCAATATCTGTGGTCAGGGGCACTTATGGATATATATATATATAGTCAAATGTAAAATACAGAAGAATGAATAGAAGGGTTCAATGTTCTACCTAACCACGTGGCTGCTTGTACCCTTTGAACGTAGGACTTCCCAGTCCTGGGTACTTCAATCAACGTTTGAGGTTAGGAGTGGAGCGCATTGGTTGCTAGCTGGTAGCACAAAAGGCTTGAAATGTGCTAAAGCACTAATCTCTCTGGAAGCTGGCTGGTTAACCTCCATCAGCTCCCACAGCCCGCATGCTGGGAAACAAACAGGGTGAGTTGCTTTCCAAGAGAGTTTTTTTTTTTTTTTTTTGAGTATAAATATAGCCCACTGCTTTTACACAATTAATGCAGCCCTGTCCTCTGGTTGATGTTGCTTTTAATGACTCAAATAAGAATGCCAAGAAATGCATGCTTAGTGCTCCTGCCCTAAGGGTAAATGACAGTTGGTCCTTCTAGGGAAGTGAAAGAGAACATTTTTTTTTTTTCAGTTTGCACTGTGAAATAAATTGCACATTGCATTCTCCAATCCCATGTTCATGAAGCCAAAGGGCAAAACATATCAGGAAAATGAATTACTTTTAATATCAAAAATATAATTGTGATCCTTAAATCATGTTTTCAGTAGTTAAGTGCAATTCTCGCTTATGACTTTTAGATAATAATGAGATGTAGAACCCACTTAAGGGGGCAGATGGCCCTACCAGCTTCTACTTCTTCTGGCCCATCATAAGATTTGTCAATGGCGGCTCTGAAGCTTTCATTGCAGCCCCGGCCTCGGACCATGTGTGGTCTGGGCCTGTGGAAGGGCAGATCACTCTTCCTGACTTCAGCCACAGCAGTCTGCAGGCTCTCCAAGGAACTGGACTTTTTCAAACCCAAAGTCGGACCAAAGTCTTTGCTTGGAGAGTCTGGAAGAGAAAGGGTGAGAGGTCAGCTGTCTCCATGATGGAGCAGTATGCTATGGTGGAGATACACATTCTTTCCAAGAATATTTCTGTTCAGGAAGCTTCAAGAAGAGGTGTTAAGCCAGTAAACACTGTTGGCTAATATCCAGCTTTGCCATTATTTTTGGTCATCTTGGGGAAGTGTATTGATATTTCTGGACCTCGGTTTCTTTTTCTACAGCTGTGGTAAGCTTTTAGATGAGGGTATTTAAATCTGTTTTACACACAGAAATTTATATGCATGTGTAATATGCACACACAGGTATACATACATGTGAATTTGAAAGTCACTACATGTATATATACCTATGTGCACAAATGTAGACACACAAACTCTGTGTAGACCTGATTGGCCTTGAACTCACGGAGATCTGTCTGCTTCTACTTCTGGAGAGCTGAGGTTTAAGGCATTCACCACCACTCCCAGCCAGAGGTGCACACACACTCATAATGAACCTAACACAATAAGTGCTTCCCTTAGTACTCAACCCAGCATCTCATCCACTATACCTGTTATTACTGCCAGAGTTGTTTATTTGATTGGCCTGGAAATCAAGGACCCTTAGTGATGAGAATTTTCATAATTAAATTCTTTACATTATACTAATGATGATTAATGCATGCTGAATGAAATTTATTTAGTCTGAAAATAAAGCAAAGCAAACAAGGAAAGAGATTTTCTTAGTGCTGCTGCTTCAGGTATATTTCAATTTGGACCCCAGGAAAGCAGCCTTCTTTTTTATGTAATAAATAACTGTAGAGCAGAGAAGTAAAACATAAAAGAGCTTTAGGGGCCTATGTTTTGGGAAAAAAAGAAAAACAAACAAACAAACAAAAAAAACCCAAAACAAAAACTATCTTCTTTTTGTACAGCTTGCCTTGCCCTAGGCTGCTCTACTCCACCCTATGAGCCAACCTCTGTCCCTGCTCCAGCCAGACTCCTTAATATCAATAACAAGTTTAAGTGATAGAAACATTAGTAGCAAAATGGTTGCTTAAAAGATAGCAATAACTCCATTAAAGCTTTTGTTTTGGCATTCACGTTTTTTCACCAAAGCCTCCCTATTCCCCTTCACCTACCAGGGAGACTACTGTCATCAAGAGTGTGCACCATGTTTCCAGAAATACCTGACTGTGGCTTTTCCATATATGTGACATGAGCACATAGGGAGCATTATGTATGTATGTTTCCACTTCAGTGCACATTATCCCCTGAGGCTCCGCAAAGGGCCCTACCTCGTTATTGTCATGACTATTTTCATTCCTATTTCGACTGCCACCATGGATGTGGCCCCTGTCTTCTCACTGCACACTACATAAGACAAGTACAGGCGGGGTCTAATATGTGTTACAGCCACATAATGTTGATTAGCAAAACACACTTCCACATTTGCTGGAATATGTAGAGAACTGGAATAAAAGTTAACAATGTACTACCTTGTCTTTTGCTGATATTAACTTACTATAAGCCTTACAGTTGTGGCATTGGTACTAATCAGGCACTAGAAAATTAAACCAAAAGTCTTTGACATGCTAGGCAAATGATCTATTGGCAAAATAAATCCCCAGCCAGTTAGCATGTGTAGATAAGAAAACAGAAGTAACATGATAAAGCTACATGCTTCACCTCCCCACTGGGCACTGAGCAGAGGCAGAACAATTGCAGCTCTGTACCATGTACTTTCCAAAGTCAAGATGTGCTCTGTGTCTGCCCTATGCTTGATTATGGTCAAGTTTCTTAAGCTGACCCACATTTTCCTCATCTCTAAAGTAGGAATATTAGTCTAGACGAGCCTCAGAGCCCACCCAGTCGAGCCAGCAAACTGCAACAATTGGATATTACCTTATGGTTTCAACATTAACTTACAGGAAGCAACCTCACACTGTGAACAATACACACGATGACAATAAACACTGCATTTTATAGATGACAGTGCATATTCAATAAAGGAAACTGAGAAGAGACTGAGAAAAATACAAGAAAATTCAAGGACAAATTACAGGTGCTATTTGCAATCATAAATACTAAGGCTATGTTACTGTTAAATCCAGAAAAGGCACTTTCCCCCAATTCACAGCAAGGAAGGAGAGTTGGAAAAAAAAAAAAAAAAGAATCAAGTAAGATCATTTCTGATAAGGAAAACAAAAGACAACATAGAGGTCTGGGAATATTGAAACAACAGTAAAAGCTTTAGAATTTACAGAAAATATTTTTTAGCATCAACCTCTAGGGATGTCTGGCATAAAACTTGGTGAAAATATGAAGAAAAGAGCTGAGAAAGCCTAGATCCTCTGTCAACAACAGAAACCATCTTTTATTTATTAATTGCCACTCGGGAGATTATATTAGAGCCCAAACTGTAAGCATTCACATCAACCTTTAGCAATAAATTCCAGGGAACTTGAAAGTGAATAAATCATCTGAGATGTGAGGCATGTTATCTAAAAAGAGCCTACCTACATCTCGGCAAGAATTTCTGAGGGAGAACAAATATGCAGTCACTGATTCTAAGAGAACTGGAGGTAAAGGAGTCAAGGATTTTGTAAGATTGATAGAGCTGACAATTACTGTGTATGCGCATGTGTGCCTGACAGCATGTGTCCCAAATGAGAATGCCCAGGTATTGCTGTGCCCCTTTAGATCCTTAGACACATAGTCACATTAAAATCAAATGGTAAGGTCCAGTTCTGGACCTTAAACTTGACAGACACCAGGATTCTACTCTTTGGAAAAAGAAAAAGAATTCGGTTCCTTCCTAGGAGTAAACAGAAGGAAGAAACGGAAGAGACACTCTCATTAGGGAGAACAGCCCTCAAACTGGAAAGGCCCATGTAAGAATGTGCAGGTACTATAAATGGGCCGGAGGCATCTCCTGGAGTTAGGGGACCTTGTTATAAATCTTTACGAGGCCCCTATATATTAATTCTCACTAGGTCAAAGTTACCAGCCAGGGAGGTGTCAGTTGGAGGAGCAGCACTAAGTAAGACCCAATCAAACTCTCGGAGAAAAGTACCTTATCAGAAAGAGATTTTGTGAAGAGGGGTGGATTGTTACCTTAAATCCCTCTTCCCTAACCCTACCCTCATCAATGTCTGTTTAGACTAACAATGTGCAGGAAATTTTACAGCTTTCAGGATGATGTGGCACCCATTCTATCTCAAGCCTCACCTTTTACACACACAGATGAGTCTTTTCCCCAGGCCCCCTCTAAAGTGGAGGTCTCCTTGAAGGAATAATATAAAATGAGCAATTTATCAAAATCAAAACCTCAGCCTTTCAAACCCATTGAAGTCACCCCCAAATATGATGACTCTTCACATTTTCCTCTGTAGCTAAAGTGATGGAGGCTGTGCCCGATTATAAGCAATTGTTAGAGCAAGTGATCCATGGATACCAGGTGTTATTTGTCACAGAATAGACCTTGTCCAGATTTGAACACTTGCTGTTCCATTTTGAGTATTCACAGAAATAATTTGCAGTTTAGTGTTTGATGATTTCCTGGCCAGCTTGGGCTAGTTGCAAATGCCAAACTTACTGCAAAGTTTTCACTTTCCAGACTTCTCTATCAGGTGGCCATGGTCTTTAAGTTTTAATGAATGCCCTGTTCCCTCACAAATATGAACTTGACACACATGGATATCATGAAGGAAATAATAGATCTGTGAAGAATATTAAAAAAGAATTTACCTAATAAGAATAATCCTCAGAAATTATAGTAAAAATATTCTAATATTCTGAACACATTTATTCACATTCTTCCAGAAAAAAAAAATACAGAATCAAAACAAACTCAAACGAAAACCAGAAATAGCTATCAAGATGGATGGTGTTTATGCCTACACAAGACAGTCACATTATACCATCTAAGCCCAGGGAACAGCCAGTTTGGGGTAGTGGAACAGTTGAAGTTATAAGAAAGGGCTGTGAACTGTTATCTTCTGCGCAAGACATGGCCATTGTACTCACGACCTCACAGAAGCTATGGATATTTGCACTGGGTGTGCACAAGGATGGACCAGGGGCTTTCCCTCTTACTGCTGAGCTATATGATACTAATAGACTCAGGAAAGGGGGAGTCCCTGCCCCTCAGTTTTGTACCCACCTATGACCACACTAGGCTCCAGTGGATAGTTCTGTCACAGTGGTCACACAGAGAACATTGGCTAGACTAACAAGGTCACAAAACAACCGAGTCAGGAAGTGGGGAAGGAAACCGGTAAAGAAAAGGGGAAGTTCATAGGGGTAGGGGAAGGTAGAAGGGAGTGTGGGAGAGCAATCCATGCACATTATATGCATGTATAAAATACTGAAATAACAAAATTAACCAATGATATATACGTAATAAAATAAAAATGGCTAAGCATTTGAAGGGTTTGTGTGGCCATATTTCTCATAAAGAAGTGACACAGAGTTCAGAGAAGAACTGCAGGTACACTTTAGCTTTGGGAACTCTAACCGCCTGCTTGGAGGAAGACAGTAGTGGGTCTCAAGGACAGCACAGGTGCAGGAATCAGGGGGACAAGGGCACCTGACATTTCTTTATTATTAAAGTGTGTGTGAGGGGGCTCTTAAAGGACTCATTCGGAGGTCAAATAACCTACCAGATATAAAAATAAAAAATACCCAGCCTACAATCCACAGCCCCAGAGAAGCTAGAACCCTTTTCCAGAAACAGATGGAAACACATGCAGAAATCCACAACTAACCCATGGGCCAAGCTCCTGGAGTACAATGAATTGAGGGAGGAGCAAAAATATGAACAAAGGAGTCAAGACCATGATGGGAAAACCCACAGAATCAGCTGACCTGAGCTACTGAGAGATCATTGACTCAGGTATGACAAGTGGGGAACCAGCATAAGACTGAACTAGATAGACTCCCTTAATATAGGTGACAATGGTGTGAGGGGCACTCAAGACATGTGGATGCCTTGTATCCAAGGCTATGAGGTTGAAGTGTTACTGCC